AAAAAAAAAAAAAAAAAAAAAAAAAAAAACGTTGAGCAACCTTATAAGGGAGATCAATGCCCTTCCGTTTTACCTCTTGTCTATCCCACATCGGATGGGCAAGAGTTGAGAAGTCTGATGCATCTTTATTAAAGAGCCTCAACCAACTTCTTAACAGTATTAATTTTTTTTATATGATGGAGGGTGTTTTTTTTTTTTTTTTTTGTTTTGAAGGGTGTTTTATCCTTTTTCAAAACGTCAACTCCAAACGCAGCTAAATGAAGTGTTTGGAATTTCAACGGTTTGGAGCAAATCGCTACTTCAAACCGCTGAGTTATTAAACGGTTTTTTAGCTTTTTGACTTCGGTCAAAATGTTAAAATGGTAAATTCACCAAAATTTTGGCACAGAATCAGTTATATGCGTCCGAGGAAATGTGCAATTCGCATCCGAAGTTGCTCGGACGCATAGTTGTTGGGTAATATGGTTGTAAAATCCCAAAATAATAATAATCATACGGAAAGATTAATATTATATGGGAAAACAGAAAATTGGGAAGGAAAAGGTTGAGTGTTTGGGTAAAGGTTTAGCACGAGTTCGAACACGAAGTTCTTTTCCTTAAAACCTTATTTGCTACCTCCCACAAGTGCTAGGAGCGTTGTAGCCTAGGTTTCCCAGGATAAAACGTGCTACGATTCCTTGTTTAAGCACCTAAACAAGGAACCCGGCAAACAAAGCAAAGCTGGAACACTGGTTGGCTAAAAGAAGAGAGTAGAGGCAGAGTTTTGAGATGAAAAGCTACTGGAATTCCTTTTGTTTCTCACTGTGTAAAATGCTACTGCTTCTACCTCTCTTTATATAGGGATGTTGGAGTGATAGCATTCAACATGACCATTAAATTGGTGTTAAAACCAATTGTGTAACACCTGTAACGGTCACCACTAAGTAGGATTAAACTCAGAATTTAAAAATTGGAATTAAACAGTATTAATTCCGTAACAGATGAGTTTAATCTTCTGCACTTTCTGGTTTCAGACCGTTACAGGGTTGCAGGTTCACACGAGAGCACACGGACCAGTCAACACGAGAGTACATCTCTCGTGGTCACAGATGCACGAGAGTTGTGCTCTCGGTGCACCACAACCTCTCGTGCTACACACGAGAGTAGGTGCTCTCGGTTCGGTTCTGGCCGAACCAAGTGACCATACCAGATGGAAAATGATACCGAAGTTAGGCATAACTTAGCCCGCAAGGCCAGCCCACGCGAGCTCGGGCTTGATTTCAAGCCTTTTTGATGTCCTCTAGTTGGATTTTGATTTGCACCCCCCCCCCCCCCCCCCCCCCCCCCCCCGCGCGCGCGCGCGAGAGAGAGCCTCTATGCTATACAATTCTACAAGTTTGAAAAGAGCTCATGTATATAAGGGGGGCAAATCTTGTTTCCAAACCAATGTGGGACAAAGTCCTACATTTTCCCTTCATTTCCCAACTTAAATGGGTCTACTTTGATAATCAATATCTCATTCACCCATTATCCGTTTTGAGCGTACAATATATCAATCTCTTCGTCTTACTACGAAGAATCCGAATCCACTTTGACCCGACCCAAATCGGAAGTGGACTCCACAGATAATTGTACCACAAAATAACCACTTAATATGCCATTTTAAGCTAATTTTTCCAACAATAGTAACTATATGCATATGAAGTTGTTTCGTTTTTTTTTTTTAAATACTATATGCGTTTGGATTTCATAAAACCTGGACGAATATAATAATTATATATGTTTTTAAATACAATCTGCGTCCGGAGTAATTATTATTATTTTTTAATTATTTGATTAAATTTCTAATTTTTTTTCGTGTACAAAAATCACACTACCAACACCTGCCACTTCCACTTTACAATTTTTATGCTCTCAACACAATACACATTCAACTAACTTGAATTACTAAAAAACTTCCAACAAAACTAATTCAAAGTAACTTCAACAAAACTAACTCATACATTCAACACTTCAACCAATTAACTAAAATTAAAGTTCATACATTCAACACTTCAATTAAAGTACTCACAACATTCAAACATCAACACTTGAATATCAAATTCATAAACATATCTTCACTAAAATATTTGGCCCAAACCTCAAGAATCTCATCAATTTGCTCTTTTGAGTAAGACTTTGACGCAAATGCCTACAAAAATTTAAATAATCAAATAATTAGTTTTAACATTAATAAAGTATAATTTAAAAGTATTTAGTTTTAATAAATTTTACATACCGTTTTATCAAATTCATAATATAGAGTGTATATCTCAAAAATGTATCTCAATACATAATACCTACACTCCACATAACCCGGTTGCCGAGGACACTACAAAATATGAGTTTTTATGTATATATATTAATAAGTTAAACAATAAAAACACTACTAATAAAATTGTAAAAAAATATTAATACTCTAATTTTGATATATATCTCAATTTCCTTCCAATCAACATTGTTTTTAGCTCTTTTCCCTCGTAAATTCACAACCGATCGAAATAACCTATAATATACACTCATATATATATATATACTAGTTTTTTTACGCGCTTTGCGCGAATGGGATAATGCCCAATGATTATTTTTAAATAAGTATTTCAAAGTATATCAATGCAATATTATATCGGAGATGTTCATGCATATGTAAATAAATATTGAATTTGTTTATTTAAATCGGTAATTCAAAATATATAAATGCAAGATAATATTTATTGAATTTTCTAATCGATATTTGGTAGTGGTAGTTTTACCCTACATGTTTCATGCATTGTGAGATGTGTATGTAGGTTATCATGTGAAAGTATTGAACAAAATATTAATATTTATTATATTTGTATAAAAGACTTAATTGGTAAATAAGTATATATAATGTATTTTGTATTATAACTTTGATATTTAATTACAAGATAATGTAAAAAGAAGATAATGGACAATGCAGTGAATATAATAAATTGATAAATTTGAAAGTAATGAATCTTTGAATTGTAGAAAATAAAGATAATATAACTAATGAAATTATATCTATTTTTAAATTTTTTATAATGAATAATTTTTTTTAAATAAATGCATTATAGACATCTAATTCTAAATTAAATATGTATTATTTTTTGTTGTAGCTACTACTTTATTTAGTTTAATAAGAGTAATAAAGTGGCGTATATACTTTTCATCAACAATAATGCAATCATTGATTTTTTTAAAAAAAATACATACAAAAAATATTAATGCAAAAGTATAATTGAAATATTAACTTTTTTTCTGATCTAAATAATCAAAAGAATATTAAGTTTTTTTCTGATCAAATGATTTTTAAATTTCTTGATTTATAATCTTTGATGCTTAACTTTGAATGTTATATATTTAGTCAGACTAATTATTTGAACAAAGTTTATGTCAAATTTTATATTATATATATTTTATATTTTAAATATATTTTAACATATCCGTAGTATATATGTTTAACAATTATGCCAACTCTAATTGGGATGTGGTTCGAAACTAAGACTTTTCTTATAGAAATTAATGTATAAGTTAAAATAATAGATACTTAACGGAATATTCCGTTACTAAAGTTTATGCTAACGGAATTTAGGTTATTTAAGGGAAGAAAATAATATAATAGAGAGTAAATAAGGAAAATCAATAAAAAATACTAAAATAAAAATAATATGAACCATTCATTTTAAGAAACAATAGTATAATATGAACCATTCATTTTAAGAAACAATAGGACCGACATTTTTTTGTTCCAGTTAAGGGCCTAACATTATTGGCTCTTATTAAAATTGTAGATATATATATATATATATATATATATATATATATATATATATATATATATATATATATATATATATATATATATATATATATATATATATATATATATATATATAGGGTCACGCTCTCATTCGAACGACCGTCCAGGAGAGAAATAAGAACCACTCAGCGTCGTTCACGTGTCCAGATCAACAAATCAGATGTAATTTTAAAAAAACGTCGCGGTGGTATTTTCGTAAATAACTCGAACTTTGGTGCATATAAATGTGTTATAAGAGCAAGTGGCTGGTGTACCTTTGCAAGTAAAAAGTCCAGGTAAAATCACTTACAAGTGCATGTAATTTAACCTTGTTAACATTCATGCACATAGGTGCAACTACTTATAACTATAGGTGCATCTAGTTATACGTTAAGTGCACTTAGTTTTGATGCTCAGTGTAAATTTTACTTGCACATGTAATACATTTTACCTGCACTTGTAATACATTTTACATGCACTGAGGTGCACTATATGAAACTGCTACTTACACTTGTAATACATTTTACTTGCACTTCGATATTCAATTATTTAAGAAAATGCTACCGCATTTTTTTTTTAATAAAAATTAGTGTTTCTTATCCCTTAGATCTGGACACGTGGACGAATTGTATGCGCTCTCACTTGTCTCCTCTATATATATATATATATATATATATATATATATATATATATATATATATATATATATATATATATATATATATATATATATATATATATATATCAACCACAATGGAATTTATAATCCTCCAGATTACAATTCCAACCAACAACTATATATAACAATATATATAGAACAAGGATTCGATGCTTAGAGCATAATCCCAAACCCGAGAAGAAAGGAGATGAAGAAGAGTGTGTTAGTACGAGTCGAACGAAACACTCTTTCCTCTATATTGTACAATTCAATATGCTTTAGAAATACTCTTGTATAAATAGTGGTGCAAATCCACTTCCCAAACTAATTTGGACAAAAGCTACTCCCAACCTTTTCCCTTTATTTTTCCAACTTAATGGGTCTATTTTGAGACTCAATTTCTCATTCACCCATTATCCGTTTTGAGCGTACAATATATATATATATATATATATATATATATATCGAAAAATTCGGATCCACTTTCATTCGACCAAAATCGAAAGTGAACCCCACTAATAATTGTAACACAAAATAACCACTTAAAATACCATTTTAATACTATTTTTCCAACAATTTCTTATCCATCAAATAAGAATACCAAGAAATCAAAGGTCAATCACAATTTAGCAATTTTGTTCCTTCCTATTTCCTAGTCCTAGCGCATCAAAGACTTTGGCCAACTCTTGAAATTGAAAGCCCATAACCAAAATCCTAAAACACAGCTTCAATTCATTCTCAAAAACTTCTGAGATTGCTTCAGTTGAAGTTCCGGCAACACGCCGGCCGGCCTAAAACCTATGGCATGCCATTCTTAGGGGGACCGGAGGGTCGGAGTAGGAGCCGTCGACGATTTTATCGAAAACCCATTTGTTAGCGGCCTCTGTATAGTGTACCCCATCCCAATTGATCCTAACCGATGGATCTCTGCATGCTTTTCCCACCAACACTTCTGTGCCATTCACCATAATTTTCCCTCCACATCCAATATGCATATTGTAGTTATACTTCCCCCCATGTCCACAGCAGGCCTGTAGTGGATGCACAAACCCTGCAATTAAAAACACAAACCACAAAAATGAGACTTACCACTAAAATTGGCAATTTATATGGAGCAATGTGCGCCCAGGCATAAAACGCGCGCATTTCATGTTGACATCACTCCGTCCATCCGAACAGATCAAATTTCATTATGTGTATTCAGTTAAAATTTTATGTGTATTGTGTTATGAGTTTATGTGTATTCAGTTAAGAGTTTATGTGTATTATGTTAACCAAACTCATTATGTGTATTCAATTAAAAGTTTATATCTATTGTGTTATGAGTTTATGTGTATTATGTATTATGTTAGATTATATGTATTCTGTTATGAGTTTATGTGTATTCGAAATAGGTGATTTTTTTTAATAACTTAACAAAACGGCGTCATTTTGAGAAGCGCGGGGCGCAAAGTACAATGTGCGCCCTGGTGCACGGTATAACGATTGACTAAAATTGTAATTTTTCCAAAAATAAATAAAAAGAGTAAGTATAGTATTTATTTACCGTGTTGTTTGGGTCGAGAGATGAGATCATACATGGCTGAATAAACATCAACGTAAGTGAGAGCAGCTTGTGGGAGATCCTGCCGGAGCTGCTGCACCGCCTGCTTTAACCCACCGTTGAAATACTGCGCCACCTCGTTGAACGGAGCGGCGCATCCAGCCTTATCGACCTGCGCCGCCGTTACCGCCAGCCGGTCCATCACGTACGGCAGGCACCCGACGGGACCAGTATTGTGTATCCAGAAATATCTACCCCCTTGTCCATATATATACTGCATTTTTAAACACATAACAAATTGAAACATGTGCTTCATTCCAACTAAAAATTTAATGTGATAGTTGAATTACACATATCTAAAAACATAATAAGTGTGAATGAAAGTTATACCCTTAATATATGTCCGAGTTAATACCCAAAATCGTCCTCGACTATAGTGGTTTTTCTCAATTTCGTCCTAAACGACTTTGGTGGCCTAATATCGTCCCAGACTTTTGTGTTTCGCTCAATTTAGTCCCATACGTTTGTGTTTTTGCTCAATTTAGTCCTTCATTTGTTATTCTGTCCATTTGATGTTAAATAAATAGACAATTCAGTAATTTTAATATTGGCATCTCTTTACTTATAGACATGTGAACTGCGAAATCCTTTTTTTTTTTTTTACGAATTACTCCCAGAATTACTCATAAAACTGCAAATATAAAATTTGATTTGCAGGTCCGGGAGTAATTCTGGGTGTAATTCGTACAAGAAAGATGAATTTCGCACTTCACAAGTTGAAAGTAAAGAGAGATCAATATTGACATTACTGAATTGTCCCTTTATTTAACATCAATTTGACCGAATAAAAAATGGAGGACTAAATGGAGCGAAACACAAAAGTCTGGGACGATATTAGGTTACCAAAGTCGTTTAGGACGAAAATGAGAAAAACCACTATAGTCGAGGACGATTTTGGGTATTAACTCATTTATGTCCGCTTTTTCCGTTAAGTTTTTTTTTGTACATTATGCTATAAAGGTTGTACATTAAAATATTTTGGATAAACATACCCCTACCGTTATCTTTTCCACTATTGTTACCATGCACATGTATCCACCATATATTTTCTTATCTTCTTCATTAATAATAATATATACACATTATATATTTGAGTTATATGTTAATTATTACATAAAATACAAATATCAAATTTATAAAAATGATTTACATTATTATTATTATTGTTTAGAATAATTTAAATATCTAAAATCTAAATAAATTTAAAATTTTAATATAATGTATTAATATTGGGCACCTATTTTTTGCGCATCGCACATAAAAAATACTAGTATGTTTATATAAAAAAAATGGCGGTTTCTTCTTGAATTATATGCTAGTGTTTTTTCTCTAAATTATTCATGTATTCACATTAGCCCTTCTATTATTTTTAAAGTGACATTTTCTCTATTTTATGTTAAATAGACATTTTTACTCTTAAAAAAAAAATATTTCATTTATTTTTGTTCTCCAACAAAGTAGTGCTTATATGTAAAGAGGACCACAAATGAAAAAGAACAGACATCAATCACACCATTTGCAATAATTTGTGGAGAAGAAAAATAAAGAGAAAATCATTGTTTTGGTCCCTCAATTATTTTACAAATGTCAATTTAGTCCCTAATTTTTAATTTGATTGAATTAATTATTCAATTATTTTAAATTTTATCAATTATGTCCCATAGTCATTATTCCGTCAATTAACTGTTAGTTACCAAAACAATGGCAAGGACATTTAATTGACGAAATCTAAAATAATAGGAGGGTTAATTTGACCAAATTAAAAATTAAGAACTAAATTAACAATTACAAAATAATTTAGGGACCAAATAATAATTTTCTTTAAAATAAATAAAATATTTATTTTAAGAGTAAAAATGTCAATTTAATAAAAATGTGGAGAAAATGTTACTTTTAAAATAATGAAGGGATTAATGTGGATATGAATAATTCAGACCAAAAAAACACTAATATATGTAATTCATGGTAAAAAAAAAAGTATCATTTTCTCTTTTATTATATGCTCTCAACCGGGCATGCATTCTATCATCAATGGAAACTTGCTGTATGTATATAACTGAAGTAAAAGAGTTTGGTGATCAATGGATAAGTACCTTAACGACAGTCTTAAACTGATCCAAGACATCAGGAACATAAGCTCTAACTTGGGCGGTGGACATGTTAAGGAAGTAGCCGGCGGTCAAATCATTCTGGCCGATGTCGAAGGTGTACAGAGCTTTGGAGAAATGGTCGGCACTGGGCATCAGTCGTCGGAACACAGCGGCGCCGCCGCCGTGAATAATCTGAGACCTGCGGTGGAAGTCGCTGAACTGGTAAAACTGGACGTTTAAGGAGAAAGGGCTGAAACCGCCTTGGTGGAGGGTGGTGTTCTGAGGCCTCACGGTTGATCCGGCGGTGGCGAAATTGGCTCCGTGCGTGAAGTTGGATCCCAGAGCATCCAGAAAGGCGCTCAGATGTGGCAATCCTAACCTCTCCGCTGAATATTTAGCATACATTTAGAGAGCTTATAGTTTATTTTAAACTACTAATAAGCTATAAACTATGTTTGATAATGTTCTCCAAATAAACTTATATATTTAAATAAGAGTTTAGCTTATTTATGAGCTTATAGTTTATTTTAAGCTACTAATAAGCTTTGATAATGTTCTCCAAATAAACTTATATCTTAAAATAAAAGTTTATTTTAAAATGCAGCGTTTCAAAATAAGCTTCTAGCTTTTTAACTTTTTTTCCATCAATATCCTTATTATTTGGGAACAAAGTAATATAAATGTGGGTGCAATAAATGTCAAGACATTTTATCCATAAATGTTAATTGCACTTTCTGGAATAAAACTCAAGTTTATTAAAGGAAGCAAAAAAAAAAAGATTTTATGATAAACTTGTTCGTTTTGATTCAATCAGAGTGTGTCAAAACTTTCTATTTAAAGTATATAAGCAGACAAGAGAGTTGAGTGTCGGCGGGATCCGTAATCAATAATGCTGAAAAATGAAGCAAAAATTTAACCCTCAAATCGGAAAAATTAATGAACTCTGCATTTACCGATGAAATCAATCTTCAAACGGCCGTCGCAGTAACGTCCGGCAGGGTGATGGAAGTACGTCTCTCCATGCGGCGGCCCCGCCTGACCAAAGGCCGCCGACAAGCCGCCGGTGTCGGAGTTTGAATCGCCGAAGTTGAATATGGCGGGGAAATCGCACGGCGGCGGCGGATTCTTCGCAATGCAGATGGAGATTGGGAGTAGCAGAAGCAGGGCAAGAAGGTATTGAGAATCCATGAAAGGGAAGGTGGGGTAAGATTAGCAAGAGAATGGATAGCAATATATATAGAAAGAAGTGCCAAGCAGTAATAATGCATTATAAGAGATGATTTTTACTTTTTAGCGTGTGTTTAATTTCATCATTCGATTATAATTTTTGTTTCCTTTTTTTGGTAAAATTTTATGACTAAAAAGGTAAATTTTATTTCTCAATTGATCAAATTTCTTTAATTACTATTCCGTATTTTTTTCCCTTAACCACATATCAAGACTATGTGATTTAATGGTACCTGTGTTGGACTTTCATTTAAAAGTTTGTGGGTTTAAGCCTGGCGTTATTAGTTCTTTGTGTTTAATGACTTATTTTTTTAAAAATGTTTTAATTTTTTTTTTTATGCTAGGCTAAAGACTTGAAAACGATCTTTTTCCTTTTTAGTTGATAATTAACAAATTGTATTTTTCGTTTGGTTCATTTTCTTAAAAATAAACATATATTATTTATAATAATAACAACAACAACACTAATAATAATAATAAATAAATAAATAAATAAATGGTTGTGGTGTTGTGGTGTTTAATAATAATACAGAGTAATAATTTGGAAACAAGATTGAAGATATATGAGAGATTGAGCGGTAAGAGGGAGACGAAAAAATAAAGAATACAGCAAATATCTTCTGGCTGTAAGACATTTTCTTTCAAATGGAGTATTTTTTCATAGATATTTTACTTTAACTTTTGTTTTTTGAATAATCAAACATAGAAAAGTCTATATAGGAATCATTTTTCGTGTTTCTAAACGGACCATAAAATTCTTTTCTATTTTAAATATTTTAATAAGATAATAATTTATCTTTTATTCTCAAATTTCAACAAAATGATGAAATTGGTAATGAAAAAGCCAATGGAGTTAAAATATAAAATTAGGCCAAATTATTAATTAAAACTAAATCAGAAAATAATACCATATTCGAAAATTAAATCTAAATGATTTGTCAAAATAAAGGAGAGAGAAAATAATTTTAATCGGTGGGTAAATGATGTCATTTCTTTAAAATAATAAAGATATAAAAAAAAAATTAGAAAGCCACTAGATTATTTTAAGCTACAAGCTTATTTTAGGAACATTATCAAACATAAATAGTTTTTTAAATAATCAAAAGACCAAATTTAGTAGATTTCAATTTAAAAATTGAAAAGTGAACAAATGTAATAATTAAGACACCAAAACTAAAATTAACTTTACCTATTCTGATACCTGCACATGTATATCCAAAATCACAGTTGGATCAAATTCTATCCAAAATTTTCAAAATATCTTTATTACTTGAAATACTATACAGTTTGATAAAATTAAAAAAAAAAAATATTTTGTACATTTTGAATTAAATTTGATGATTTTTAATTTGACAGAATTGATATCTATGATTAAGGTCGGTTTCAAAACATGAAAAAAAAAAAAATTTCAAAAAAATAATTTGTAGAAAAAGGCTCATTTTTCAAAAAATAATTTAATATTTTAATGTTTGGATTAAGGTCATAAAATTAACTGTTTTTTTTTTTGTCAAATTTAAATTTAAGAAATTGCATTTTTTTTTGTTTTTTTTTTTCTAAAAATGGACATATTATTTGCTAAATAATAATAATAATAATAATAATAATAATAATAATAAAGTGATGGTGGTGGTGATGGTAGTGTAGTGGTCTAGTGGTGGTGGTGTGGTGGTCATGATGGTAGTGATGGTGATGGTAATGGTGATTATGGTCGTGGTAATAACAATAATATGGAAACTAGAGAAGATAAACATGAAAAATAACGAATTTGAAAAATGTCTTCCAATTAAAAATTTAGAAAGACATTTTTTTTTGTCAAATTTAATCCCTTTTCTATTGACCATAATAAATATTTTTTTATTAAATTACTTTTTTGAATACTCTAACACATGAAAATCTAAAAAATGACTCTCAAAAATTATTTTTCGGATTTTCAAACGGACCACCCTAAATGGAAAATGTCATTGTTGAGAAATTAAATATTATTATTTTATATTTACAGTTAAGCTTATTAACAAATTGACTCCATGGCCCAATGGATAAGGCGCTGGTCTACGAAACCAGAGATTCTGGGTTCGATCCCCAGTGGAGTCGGTTCACTATTTTTGGTTTCCACTCTCCATTATTTTACACTACTACTTCTCTATTATTATTTGTAATTTTCTTCAATCTCATTGTCATATTATTTTTACTTCTCCGATATTTCATTCTATATACTATTTTCTATGGTCTTTCATTAGTAATAATAATTTTCTCTGATCTTTGATTAGTATATTTTTACCAAAATTAGGAGTACCAAACAATACAAAGCAAGTTTTAAACGAAATTCTCCAAATCAAGCAGTGGGACACCACTAGATATATATAAAATATATACAGATGATTTCATTAGCCATAGATAGACAAAGCATTTCAAGAATGTCTTACCGTACAATGCAGCATTTTAATCTAAGACCGAAACACAACCAAATTTCCAACGTAAACTACTCGGAAAGAATAGAATATGGAACTACGTATACGTAAAACCCAAAAAGAAGACCGCAAGAGCAGATACGGTGTTGTTACATCAGTGTTTCTGACCAATAAGCAAAACCATTCTTCGCCTCTAAGACAGAAGCGAAAGGGTGCAAAATCGGGATTCAAGGCGGCTTCAAGATGTGTCATAATCACCGCGAAGGCAAAGGTGTGCCAGTGTTCAGCCATTCTAGCTTCAATCCTTGCAGTAAAATTAGGATAAATAGCGAGAGGTGGTAAAAATTATTCTGTACTACTTTGTCAGATATTAGAGAAACCACTGCAGCAGAAATTCACCAACTTTGTCAGATATTAGAGAAACCAGTGCAGCTGAGATTCACCATCTGTTACCGGATCTTGACCTGCCAAACGATATGATAAAATAAATTAATGGTTTGTAAGAACTTCACTCAAATCAACAACAGTTTAGAGATAAATAAATGACACTTCCCCGTTATACATAAATGATTACGATGGATACCACTTCTAGACGTTCTGGTGCAATTCTCGTACAGAAAGAATAAAATACAAAATGTGAGATATGGCCCATCCGGCTGTCCCTAAGTTGGAAACATAGCCATGTGCCCAAAGGCAGGCAAAACAGTGTTGCGTGGACCATAACAAAAAGTACATTTTTAATATACTAAAAATACATTATTCGTGTACCGAATGTTCATTATACAAAATAATGTACTTTCAGTACTCAAATAATGTAATTTCCCTGAATACAATGTACATTTTTAATATATTAAAAGTACATTATTTGTGTACTGAATGTACATTATTTGATAGTATGGTCCACACAGCTGTGATAATATAAAGAAGTCCAGCTCCACTATGAAAATTCATGGCAATAGGTAATAGGTTGCAAAAGACATTTTAATATGCAAAAGGCATTTGGGAAATCTGTTAGCAAATATCCTCTTAAGAAAATGTAGTAAACTTCATCAGTTTTTAACGTAGAAAGAAAAATAGTGGCAAAACTGATATTTGCAATGTTGTAAACATTGCTAGGTGCCCATCAGGCATTTGATGGGCGCCTGGCGCCTACATGCACAACTAAAAATAAACTTAGTTCCTTTTTAAAAAATAAAAATAAAAAATTGCATATGGCGGCGTCTTGGTTGTTTCGACTTCTAGTAAGTATTCCTCCCACAAATTCAAAACATAGCACATAATACTCTAAAATATACTCCGTAATACTCTAACCATAACACATACAAACAAAATTTTAGAAAATAATAGCAGCCGCCTAGGGCACCTATACAAAACTATTTTGCATTGTTTTTTTTTTTCTTTTTGGTGATGTGAAGGAGAGTATCTTCCTGTGATTATATCTTTGTTAAGCTTTGTAGATATGTTAAACATACACAACAGGGCACTGCTATATAAAGGGGTTAAATCCCCTGGCGGTGCCTTCAAATAAGGATTACCAATACTTAAAATAAAGACAGCTTTCAGAATGTATTGTTCTCTGTAGTTACTAAGTCCAAAGTTCAACTGCTTGCCTCCTCAAAGCAACTCATTCATCCTACTCTGAAGTATCAAGTGGAATTACTAAGAATTTAAAAAAAAAAAAAAAAAAAAAAAAAAAAAAACCTTCAAGAATGCATAGTTTTCTATATGTACCAAGATCAACTTGCTAGATTCTGAAGTACAGAGGATAATATTTTGTAGTCCCCCCTCCTTATCCCCATTTGTCCTTCAAAATAAAAGGACAGAACAGTCCCAGAGATGCCCCTAGGTTGAACAAAGAAAAAGCATATCCACATAGGATGTGGACCACAACTGGAACTAAAATCAAAATTCTTCACCCATTTTTCAAAAAATGATCCACTTTCTTATTCCACTTTTTGGAAGACTGACATTTACACACACACAAGTAGTTCCACTACAAAGCCAGCCATAATTTGTGTGTTATCATAAATCATAGTAACACTTCTTAGTGTCATTGTTATTTTACAAAATATAGGAGGTACTATATTATTTTCAAACCAAAAAAAAACCTCAAAATCTTGGCAATTAAACATTTAAGATGTTAATCAATTTTTTTTTAAAAAAGAGTGTATTAGAGTTATTAATTAAATACATATACTCCATTCAAACACATATCACATGTACATGGGACTAAAAATTTGAAGTGTATCTCAAGCATGTAGAAAATAATTTTATTTTATTTTTTTAAAAAAGAGCTACTCCGTATATAATATTAAGTGCATCAATAATGTAGTTTCACTCTTTTTCTCCACTAAAGCTAATGTCATAGCGTAAAATATATCTCAATCCTGATGCATAAAATTTGTTGATTATTGGATCATTTTGGTCATTATATCTTGACTAGTTTTACAATCATATTGACTACTTACAAAAAATTTCATAAAATTTTGTCATCTCCATCTATCACATGTTTAGGTCATTCTAGTTTTCTCTAACAACGCATGTGTTTCGGTGTGTGCATATTGGTGTGTGTGGGTGTGGGTGTGTGTGTGTGTGAGAGAGAGAGAGAGAAGTACCTCTCCATGTCCCTGTCGCTAAAAAATCCTCCTCTCTCTCTACCACCTCGAAAAGATCGTCTGTCATCGTGCCTACCACCCTGGTAGGCTCTTCTATCCTCACCTGTTCTACCAGCTTGGAAGGCTCTTCTATCGTCAAATGGCCTTGACAATGCATCTTGTGTACCATACAGCTTAGGCCTCTCCACAAAATCATCAGTTCTGCGTTCATCAAAAGATCCTTGGCCTCCTCGCTGAGAAGGGGATCTCTCAGAAAAGCCAGAAACTCTGCCTGACCCTGAGCCTGGCCTTTCCATGCCTTTCTCACTAAGATGAATTTTGTCCAAGTCTTGGACCAGCACATTCAAGTCCTTTTCTTTTTCATTTATCAGATGATGCAAGCGAGCCTGGTCTTCACCAGAGCTCTGCAGTGCCTCCTTTTTCAAGCTCTCTATTTCTTCTTTCAATTTCTTCTCCTCTTCTGACTCTGGTCTGAAATATTTTACTCCAATTAAACACATCTAGATATAGAGATATTTTATTCATTTTCTTCTTTTATCTTTATTCTCATGAGATGAACTTTGATAGTTAAATCATATAATGAACTTATAATACACCAATGCTCATACAAGCAAATAGCAATTGGTTATACAAATATGCAAATGCATTTGAAAAACAAGTATCATGTCTCATTTGGCAGAAGACAGAACTCATCTAACTGGTGTGATATTGTATGTTGAATATAACTAAGGCCTAATTTGTATAAGATAAAAATACAGGCACAAATAAATTTAAAAAAAAAAAAAAAAAAAAAAAAAAAAAAAAAAAAAAAAAAAAAAAAAAAAACCCTTCATACAACCTATTGTCTATTGATGCATTTCTGTTGAAGTAGATATAATTTCATATTACTCTGAATTGTAGTTATCATTGGAGAAGAATGAACGATTAAAAACCAGACAAGAATACCTCTAATTCTTGCTTCACTACATATACAACTGCATACACAGTTCCACTTCCCTTACTGGATAATAGAAAAGAACAACACTAGGAAAATTACTTTCATTCTATTCATGGCCTATGACACAAATATAGCACAGTCATCCCCATGACAATTACACAGCCAAATACACTCCTGAACCAAAATGCAAGTAGCATGATTCTACTGTAATTCCAAAAAATATAGTAAAGCTGTATTTAGCGAATTATTAATCTTTTATTATTACATGTGATATGCATTACTCTAGAAAGGAAGTGTATGTATTTCATTGTTGCCTTATTATCATTAAGTATTTTATCCAAAGTTGGGGGATAGTAATATACATGCTTCTTTCCCACTTTACTCTTTATATTTGTTCTTAAGACAATAAAATCAGTTGGCCTATATAAAAGACACAATCAATGAAACAGATCTATAAACCAAAGAATTTAATACCTAGAATTATAAGGATGATTTCATCCAAACCATTTGAGCAAGTCAAACTAAATATCCAAACAGTTAGTTGAGACCCATATGCATAAATTAGTCAACAGTTAAGCACATAAAAGGACAAAGCATTATGCAGACAACGACAAACATTCATCAGGCAAACCTCACCTATCAGTTCACAAGACATATTAAAGACATCCATCATGTTCACGCACAGCAAATGTGAGAGGAGATGCAATTTTACTTTTCTGCCCTTGCTTATTTATATAATTTCAATTGTATCATTTATTTGTTTTATATGTATTTTTTTATTTTGTTAAATACTTAAATTTAAAATGTATTATTAAAAATAAATTATATCATTTTAAAGATCCCATTGAGACGATTGAAACAAGACTAATATTAAATATATATTAATTAAAAATTAAAATACATCAAGCATAACAATAACATAATGTTACTAAAAAAAATATTATTTACATCACAAATTATATTTTATATTAAACTAATTAAATTCGAACTAATGAAGTCTTAAAATTTGAGAAACCAAATTATTTTAGTGTAGAACAACATTTGGGGTTTTGGTGTAATGGGTTGCAGATGAATAAAATTTGGTATGAAAATTCCTTTTGATGTGATATTTGGTGGAGATTTTCGGTGTTTTGGTGTAAAATGGGTTGGAGATGCTTTAAGTTATGCAAAGCTAAGTTGATAATTTTAGTTGAGACAAAATTAAAATGCCTTCTTTGTGACATATCCTCTTTCATAGCTTCTATAAAGCACTAGCTCAACTCAACTATGTTCTCAATCCCAGTCATGAAATAGATACAATACACAAAATCAAGACACACAAAACCAGGCAAGAGCTAATACGATGATCACTAACTTCGTTTCACTACACTGCTACCTCTCAGGCCCTTTCCTCTATATAAAATAAATAAATAAACAGCACTAATACTATGCATAGATTTATCAGCATCATCTTCATAAAGCCAAACAATTCTAAATCTCAAGATGGAAAAGGAAAATACAAACCTTTCATTGCATTGATGCTCTGAGACCAAATCAATCTTCCTCCAATCTATGCCCTTCTCCTCGAGCAATACCTCCCTTGGCTTGGCATCACCGAAAGGATTCACCTTTGGTTTTGCCCTCACCGGAGTCACCACCTCCTCTACCATACCCTGCAATCCTTCAGATCGGCCAGACTGTGAGCTTCCAGGCCTACTAGACTGCGCACTCGTTGGTCTACTCACCTCGCTCTCCATATCCATCTTTTTCCAGTCTAAACCTTTCTCCGCCAGCACCTCCTCCCGAGGCCTTGCTGCCCCAAATGGGTTAGGCTTGTTCACCTTCACATTGTCACCTCCCTGTTCGTTCTTGGGCGATTCCAAAACCAATCTCTGAACTCCATCCCGCGACCAGCGATCGGGTTCAGGCCTCGAGTCTCTCATTCCCGAGCCAAAAGTCGAAGATCTGGCGGGCGGTGAAGAAACGGGTTTCTTCGAAGCGCCCCAGTTGTCATCCCCGTCAGCCCTAGATGCTCCACCGCCGCCTCCGAGTGCACCATACTTTGAACGAGCAGGAGCTTGAGTAGGAGCAGAATTGTACGATGGTAAGGGTTTCTTCGCTGAAGCCCAGTTATCAACCTCGTCAGCTCTCGAGGGTTGATCGAAATCTGGAGCCCTAGATTGTGGGCCCTTCCGTTGTTCATTCTCGAATCCCCCGTATTGCCTCCGATCGCCGCCCCAGGAAGCCTCGCCATCGATGTCTCGATCGCGGATCCGACCCGGTGGAGGGCCCATGGACCTGGCCCCATAGTTAGAGAACCCTCCGCCCAGACGTCCTTGTTGCATTTCCTCGGCGGACCGCTCTTTGGGACCCGTAGGGAGCCGGAGCATCTCTTCCGTCGTCAAGCGGCTAGTGGAGCCGTAGCCATGGCCTGAGCCATACGAGCTCTGCATCGTGAACTGCTGCAAGCTCATCTTCGTCTTCTTCTTCTGCTTGGTGCTGGCAGCCTCCTTAAGGCTTGGGTAGTTCTGAGAGTCCCCTGCAGCGGCTGCCGCGGCGGCTGGCTTATTGGCAGCGGCGGCGGCATGTTGTGCAGCTCGCTCGCGCTCCTCCGCTTCCTCTCGCTCGGCTTCAGCAGCCCAGTCGCCGATGTTCCCCCACGGAGATTTCGACATTTCCGAAGATCAAGATCTAAAACGAGAAATGAGAAACTGTCTTTTAAAACGAACACTTATATATAAAAGGTGTTAATTATTATTATTTTTTTGAGTGAATTCCATTTTTGGTCCTACTGTTACAGGGGCGTTTTTAATTTCAGTCCACTTTAAATTTTTTTGCCACTTTACAACCACTGTTATTGAATGTGTTCCACTTTTAGTCCACCGTTAATATTTTCGTCAAGAGGCCGTATAATCAAAGGGTATTTTGGTCTTTTTATGTTTGTCTCTTCTCTTTTAATCCAGGCGCTTCATCCTCCTCCTCCGATATTCAAAGATGGCTCTTCGAACAACGAGAATGGGAAGCCAAAGCTACATTGTTTCGTTCGTTCCAACATGGTCCGGCGAGGTTTCTTAGATTTTAGGTTTAATGTTCTCATTTCTTTAGTCAAACATAGTCTTGGATGAGAAGAAAGGTCAAAATATCCCTAAATTAAACGGCCTCTTGATGGAAATACTAACGGTGGGACTAAAAGTGGAACACATTCAATAATAGTGGTTATAAAGTGGCAAAAAAAATTAAGGTGGACTAAAATTGGAAACGCCCCTATAACAGTAGGACCAAAAATGAAATTCACTCTTATTTTTTTTAATTGCAATTTTTGTCTCTAAATTATACAATAATTGTAGAATTCATCCTAATTGGTGATAATGCTCAGATGCTCACTCTTTTACCCTAAATTATTATTGGTTTTGCACTTTTAGTCTCTTTACTAACAAAATATTATGGATGAAATTAGCAACGTTAGTATAACTTAATGACGAAAAGTGAGAAAAAAAATTAATAAAATGACGAAAAGTGCAATGTTAATCAGTGTTACGAAACTCGCTAGGGCGCCTAACACCTTGGATAAAAAAAAAAAAAGGTCAAGAATCAAAAAAAACATCAGCAACATCAATAACATATTAACATTAATACACAATAACATTTTTTAGATCAATACAGGATGGGAGACTCCGAGGGAAAACCAGCCACTCTCCCTCGCTCTACGGGTACTCATTACCCGCACAATATCAGTAACAGTACTCTCTTCACAACAAGGAGGGCAAGTATCCAAATCAGCTAAAGTGGCTTGTTGTTGAGTGTCCAAGGAAGCAAGAGCATCCGCCACCCTGTTTTGCTCGCGGTATATTGCGCAGATCAAAATCTTCCACTCCTTGTTTTGCTCGCAGTATATTGTGCAGATTGAAATCTTCCGCTCTCTGTCCATCCAACTAGCAGCCTCCTCAAGTACACCCCGGATTTCACCCCTTAGTGAAGCACGCTCATTGATCCACTTCACCACATTCTTAGTGTCCGATTGTATTTCAACATTTCTAACACCCTTCCCTCAAGCCCGTTCCATAGCCTTAACAATAGCTATGGCTTCAATCACGGCCGCATCCCCATAATTATGCATTCCCACAAATCTTCCCCACCATTCCCCATCGGCCATCCTGAGTACTTCAATCACGGTCACATCCCCATAATTTGCCTTCCCACAAATCCTCCCCACCATTCCCCATCGGCCATCTTGAGTATTTCATCGTAACCTGCCTTTCTTGCTAACATTAACACAATAAGCAATACATTTAAAGTAAATAACTAATAACTATTTAACTAATAAGCAATAAGATAATAATCAAACAACATCCAATTATCCAAGTCCAATTTTCCAACTAATCAAACCAGTGAAACCACCAAACTTTCAAACAAATCAAACACTCAAACAATAATAGAACATCCAACTAATTAAAGTATCAAACAAGTGAACAACATCCATGATCCAACATACAAGTGATACAATAATACAACATATAAACATTGTCAACAATCAACATAGAACATTCAACTTCAAATTCCCAAAGGAATTATGGTTCAACACCCATTTTTTCTAATAACACGTTGCTCATCATTTGCAAGTTCCACATCATTGATTTGCTCCTCACTTTCCTCTCCCGATTCAAAGTTATTTTCCTCAAGATCTCTCAATCTACAACTTCTTCTAGGTTGTAATGCTTCATCTGCTCCTGTAGCATCAGTGCATCACTAATCACTTGCTAATCCAATCTCGGCTCAATCTCATCATTCTCAATATTTTCTACAATCCAATCTTGTACTAAACTTGCATCACTATTAAGCAACATTTCAATATTTTTATCTTTTTTTTTTTTCCTGTGCATGTTCATCAAATTAGCATTGAATTGGATGAAAACTAAATTGTCGAGACAACTTGATTCAAACCTATTTCTCTTCTTTGTATGTATATGTAATACAAACAAAATTAAAATATTAAATATTCAAAATACTAAATTAAGTATTGAAATAATGAAGTATCAATAATTCAATACTAAATTACTAAATAATTAACCGCTTTAAACGTGCTCCAATTTCTTTTGCACCCCGAAGAAATAGATGTTAAAGATATGATCTTCAAAGCTATTCTTTTCCATAAAGGGGGTTGAGATACCAAAAGTTGATCACCAATTTGCTGCAATCATTATAGAAGGGTTGAGATACCGGTTTAATAAAGTATTAATGACTTGAAAATTTTATTTCAAAGTACTTAACATGATTAAAGTTGTCATCATTCACCTCACATGCTTTGATCGCAATAGATCCTCCAAACATTCCTTCATTATTTTTATATTTCAGCAATTCTTCACTTAATATCTTATTTTACATGTCAATATCATTAAAGAATATAGTATCACCGAACTCAATAACTCTAACACTTACAACTTCATCTAAATGAGATGAAGTTGTGGATCCTTATAATGGTAATAAGGATTCAACAAATACGCCATTAAATGAATAGGAGTATCAAATCTATCTTTCATTTTTGCTTCAATAATTTGTATGAGCGGTTCATAATTCCTTGAGACATCGGACAAAGCATGTTTGACTTCCTCTTTTGCTCTCATAATCTCACCATATACAAACCCCATTGAAGGCTTCTTATCACAACCTACAAGTCGTAGTGCTCTCACCAACTATGCAAAAACCTTCAAACATGCCATCACACCTTGCCAAAATCGCATACTCAATAGTTCTTAATTCATTCCTTACTTTACAAAGTTTAGCCAAGAAAAAAGTTGAATTAAGGCCATGTTTACTAGCAATGAATGGGATGAATGCAAATTTTCTAAGATGGCTAAATGAAAGGTAGCATACTCCACCATGGCTATCTTAGAAAATATGCCGACAGGTACTCTGCGATGCTACTTAGATAATTCATCCATTCTCACTTTTAGGCATTGTTGCAAAAATCGCGCCTAGACGCCGATTAATCAGCGCCTAAGCGCTAGGCGCCTGGCCTCCTAGGCGGCCTAGGCGCCCTAGGCGGTCCCCAGGCGCCTAGAGGGCGCCTAACGATTTTTTCAACATTGCTTTTAGGTAATTAATATGTTAATAGAGGTCGTCAATAGTCCTAACTTCCTCTATTAATATGTTTATGTGACATTGTGAGTCAGTGACATAATCCTAAATTTCTCTATTCTCACCTCCTTTTTGTAAACCATCGCTATATTGGTTGAGCCTGCAAACACTAGTTAATTTATAAAGATCTTAATTTTCTTTCCAACAACTTTTAGATTATTTTTGTTAATAGAAAGTTGGTGACAATGTGACACCCAACATTATACCAAACATGGAACCATATAATGTTGGGTCTTCATTGGTTCGCATTGTGCTACATATACTTGATTACCTAATGATTCGGTGTTATGTCGTTTAATTTTTGTAATAAGTAGTTTATTTACCTAGCTTTTATTGTGTTTGTCTATATCTTAAACTAATTTTTTTTATATCATATATTATTATTACTTTTATTAGAATGGAAGGTGACAATTTTTATGTAGGCGGTTGTGACTCATTTACTCCAACGCCTATGAGTTCACCGATAGAGTACCCTAATTCATCTTCCGTGGATTCAACTAGTGCTAGGAATGAAACAGAAACTCAAGTAACTAGCCAAACTGTTGAAGGTGGGCTTCTTGAGTAGTTGAGTATTTATTAAATTACTAAATTTGCAATTTGTGTATCTTCTTATAATTTTGATAGTGCAAGATGGCCGGGTTAAAAATGATGGGGAATGGATTAGAAAGAGTTAGAGATAGTGTTAGTTTTTGGTTAGCTACACCAAAAAGACAACAACTCTTTAAAAATGGTGCAATACATTTGGGTATAGAATACTCAAATAGTTAGTTCAAGATGGTAAGACTCAGTGGAATTATACTTATTTGATACTTTCTGTTGCATTGCATGAAAATTCATTTATTTGTGCACCATTTGAACAAGATTGGGAGTTAGTTGAGAGCATTTGTGAAAAAATACTGCATCAAATGCATTTTCAGGAAGAAAATATCCAACTTCCAATATTTTTTTTCTTATTGATGTTTGAGATTAAGGTTAATAATTTGTGCACTTGGGTTGAGTCAACTGATTTAATGATGACAAATATGACTAAGAGTATGCATGCAAAATTTGATAAATATTGTGAAGTGGTGCATGAGATTATGGCACTAGCTAATGTTCTTGATCCAATGTATATATAAAGTTAGGAGTTGTTCAATTCTTCTTTGAATCATTTTATGGAGATAAAACTGTATCAGAAATTGAGAGGGATAAAACATATTGCAATGATTTGTGCGTGAATATGAGTATTCTTCTATATCAACATTTGCAAGAAAACGCGTCCAATCTAATGTTTTTTTTTTTGTTTTTTTTTTGTTTGTTTTTTTTGTTTGTTTTTTTTTTTTTATTTCTAGGAGGAAGGGGAAGACCCAAAGTACAGTTTATATAGACATATTAGTATTTTGCCATAAAGGGAATTCATCTAAATCGTCTTCTAAGGGGCCTCTAATGATATCAGGAGGCTCAGGGAGTCTGTGTAGACCATTGCTGAAGTGATGAGAGAATTTCGCCAGCGCATCAATTACATTGTTCTGTTCCCTGGTAATATGTGTGAGTTGCCAGCTTTCAAATCTTCTTAACTCTTTTCTGCAGGCAGTCATGATGTTGTGTGCTGCGATGCGAGGAGGGATATTACTATTGACAAAGTCGACTGCTTCCTTTGAGTTACTCTCAAGGTGAACCCGAGTGAAGCCCGATTCTATGGAGAGTTGGATTCCCTTGAGCAATGCCCAGGCTTCTGCTTCTAGTGGGGTGCATGTGCCAATGGTTGCTACGAAGCCATATTTCCATTCACCCAAGCTGTCTCTCATAACACCCCCACATCCAGCTACATTTATTATTATTTTTTAATAGTGAGTTTGGGTCTTCCACTTTTGGTGCTACATTTGTTTTTTTTTTTAATAGCCGATTTCTTTGTCAAATTATAGGGAGTGATTTTTTATTTCACCTTCCATTACTCTCGTACCAAACCAATATAATTTTATGCATGAGTTTGTTTGTGTTTGCTTTAAAAAAAAAAAAAGGAAAAAGAAAAAAAGTGACTTTATAATGTGTTGGAAAATGTTGTGGGCCTTTGTAGGGTCGACCAAGTAACAAAGTACTGAAGTAGAGTAGGCTATTCCCAAGTTTACGTCGGACGTCGGAGCTGGTACCAGGGTTTAAGCCGGAGGGAGGAGGTTAGCAATCAATCAGTGATATGCAAACGCGATGGAGGACGAGGAGGGTTTAAGGATCAAAGTGGTGTTCGAAGATGGTGACATTCTCAATGATTCCCAGAAATCAGAGGGCCTCGAGAGAAGCTGGCTTCTCCTCAAACCCACGCACCACACAATAATCTCCCAATTCTCTTCCGATCTCTTCCACAACTTCAAACTCCATAACTCCTGTCCCCATGGCATCCTCCTCTCTGTAAATTACTCTCTCTCTCCCTCCCTCTATGTATGTTTGTATGTATATGCAATTATGCATGCGGCGTGCCCTGATGTGGGAGAAACTTGTTACTTTCATGGATAATCTGGAAATGTAGGTTATAGAATGACTAGTGGTATGCTTTTATACAATGCCTATGGGTGTTTTGTGTTGGTTATCGTTGTTTGTTGCTTTAATTCGATTCACATACTTTTACCATTTCTGGAAACGAGTGGAAGAGAAGAAAAAAAACTAGTAAATAAAAGGCTAGAATTTGGGAATGGGTTAGTGGGGCTTTGGGTGGGTGAAGAAGGGGGGTTTATTGGATTCAGTGAGATGAAGCATGAAATTAAACCGTCTGTGTTAGGAAATATTTATTTGAGTTTGGTGATTCTGAGATTAGATTTATTGTGAGAGCTTGTGTTGGCCTTAATTGTGTGCAGATGGATGGGTTTGTCTTGCCACCTTTTGAGTCAACTTGTTTCTTTAAAGATAAAGATGTAATCAGGTGAGTATAGCTAATTTTCGTGTACTACGTTTTGGTGAATTATGTGCACTTTTAATGTGATTTCTATATTATGTTAGTGTGAAGAAGAAGAAGAAGAAGAAGAAGGGAGGTTCGTTGGTTATTGTAGGGGATGCACCTAATTTGGTGGAGAATGTCCAAAGTGTTGAGAAACCATCTGTAAATACCAAAGCTCTGCTTTTGGCAAATGAGGCATTTAACAAGGAACATGGGGGCTATGAGAGTGACAGACCTGAAGAGGAGAGGAGAGGCCAGGTGGATGATTACAATTTACATAAGAATTTGCTGGATGGAGTTGCAGTCTCCAAGAAAAGGAAGGCATCCGAGGAACTTCATAGCACAAAGTATGAACTAAGCTCTCCATATGTGGATTCCTCTTTTAAAAAAATTTGTGGGAGAATTGTATGGCGGTTGCAGTTACAGCTTCAAATGGGCCAATGGATAACTCACTTTCTCTGAATACAGGAAGAAGAAACAGTGCTCTCAAGTTGCAGAGGAGTGCAACATTGATGCTCAGACAGAGCCGAGTCAGCCGACTAAGAAATCTAAACGAGATCGGACAGCCAAGATAAGTAATAAAAAGGAACAACGAAAATCTGAATCTAAGATGGATGGGGCTGAAGATAATAATGAAACTGCGGAAATGACTAAAGACAATCATACTAAGCCCAACACAAAGAAGTATGTGTTATTACTCAAATGCCTTGTCTTTCTTCTATGGTTTTGTGGTGTTTGATCTCCATAGTCTAAATTATGAGTTTATATGTCATTTGTTTTTATTTTTATTTGTATTGAGGCTAAATGTTTTCAAACTTTTCCCCAATCTGATTCTTTGATTGATTTTAGACCCCAGGGGAAAATAGGTAACTCGTACCTAGAACTCTTATTGCATGACTATCTCCTCACTTTCATTTCATGGCCCTCCAGTGTTGCTGATATTTCAGACTAGAAATTATATGCTTTTATATTGCTTATATATTCTAGATTTCTAGAAATTATCTGGTTTTATCTAAGTTTCCTTGTTGTTACTTTAGAAATGATCACATTCAAGAGAATGGGAAGGAATGCGTGGACGTGACAGCCAAGCCGGAAGAAATACAAAAGGTATTCTCAATCAAAATTTAAGATTTTTTATTGAAGTTGATTCATTGAAACATACTGTGTAGTCAGTTTTTGGTTATACAATTTAAACTAGATTATGCTTGAAGTATTACAACTGTTTCTCAATCTATGTCTAACATGCTTTATGGACTACTATACTTGCAATGGCTTTATAAATACTTTGAAACATTGTTTTGGAGATTGTAGAAGTAAGGGAAATTTGTCTCCAAAAGAGGTTGTTATGTACGTTATATTCTAATCTAATTCATGAATATAACTGAATAACACTTTCAGATGACAGCTTTGTTTTTCTCAGATTATATTTTATTTCGTGCATCCATTAGTTTCCCTTAGAGGGCGTTTGGTAGCCAGGAAAGTTCAAACTTTCTTGGGAATTTAAAAGGTTGGGAAAATTATTCCCATGTTTGGTGCAATCCTTGACTTAAAGTTCGAGTCAATGAGATTCTAATTCCTTTTCCCGGGTAACTGGGAATCTACCAAATTTATTCAATTACGTTATCCTTTTTGGCGCCATGTGAAGAGTATCTTACAAATATAAAGAAATTTGTCTCTCCAACCATTACAAAAGATTATAACACTGTTTATCAAAAAAATTGTCTCTCTCAACACTTTTTTACATGCATATTGTTTTGTATTTTGAATATTCTTGTTGTAGACTGGGATTTTTTGGTATATGGTTTATTAATTTACAAGTGATTTAGTAAACTCTCAATTATTTGTTATGTTGTTGTTGTTGTTTATTTACTTATTTATTATTTTTTTTAATGTTTGTATATAGCAAGGATATATTAGGGATTTAAAAAAAATTTCTAGGAAAGCTTAAGCGAACCAAACATCTTAATTAATTTTTTAGGTAATTTAATTCTTATGTTTCCTAGGTTCCCATCAAATACAGTCCTTGGAAATATTTTCCTAGGAATTTAAGCGAACCAAACATCTTAATTAAATTGCTGATTTCTTAGTGTTTTACGTTATTCACTTGAAGTTATGATAGTCTATATACTTGATTTGGTCAGCGGCCAAGCAGGAGCTCAAGGCGACAATATGCAAAGAGGAGGCTCATACGGGAAATGACTAAAATTCTAAAGGAAAATGCAGATTCTCAATTAAAGGCACTTGTATGTACTATAGTATAATATGCAGAGAACCCACTTTCCTTTCAGTAGTTTGACCTCTATTGCCTACTTCTATTCCTGATTTTACAGAACAGTTCGAAGGACACGCAATCCAAAGATGGAAGCGAAGAGGCAGTTAGGCTACCAAAAGGACGTGTAAGTAAAATAAATTTGCTTAAAGTTCCCCCTTTTCATGGATAGGCACCATTAACAACTTATGATCTGAATTTGCAGCAGAAGTGGAAGAAGGGACAAGCTAGGGCCAAAAGAGAAGAGGATATAAGCCGACCAAAAGGACATGTGAGTAATATATATAAAGCTTCTGTTTCTATTAGATACTGTATTGTCATTTAAAGCTTATATTGTGAATATCCAGATACATTGGAAGCAGAGACAAACTGGAGATGAAATCAAAGAAACCCCTGGTCAACCCAAGGGACTTGTGAGTGATTGAAAAAATGTAAATCTTCTCTTCCTGTCACAGAATTCCCAACAAACATGTATATCATTTTTTGCAGCTATATTGGAAGGGATTGCTTTGCGACGATATGACTAAAGATATGGACAAACAGGAATGTACAAATTCTAAAAACCTTTCCTGTGGTGAGCCTGATCAAAATAGTGATAATGCAGATGGGGTTGTTCCAATTGAACTTACTCCGGGACACATCCACTCTGAGCTTCCAGGGAAAGGTCTTATGATCCTTCACTCACTTTACAGACATTTTCTCTATCATTCTCTTAGATGTCTAGTTTGTTGTGCTGTGGCTTTTTCTGCTTTTTAAAGCTGTCAGCTGATTACTTATCAATCTTTGTTCAAATGATAATCTGGATTCTGAAAGTTCAATTATTAGACACTTGGTCTGAATGAGTGTTGGAATTTTTCTCACCTCTGTTTGCTTATCCACTTAAATATCATTACTGAGATTGTAAAATGCTACCTAGATCCATAATGCATATTTTTATTTGTAGATTATATTAGAACCTATGATTTTTTGAACTATTGCCTGTATTTTTAATTTTATATGAATCTTGTTTCCTTATTTTTACTTATCTTCTAACTCACCGTGGAGGTTGGGGTTGTGCTATAAGAGGCATGCGTATTTGTCTATTTCAGAAATATGACCTGATCCCTTTTGGAATAAATGCATATATGGTATGCTGTATTATAGAATACCTAACATGTCAGATTTTTCTGGTTGATGCAGAAGAAGCTGTGCAACAGAATCAAGCTCAAGCGGTATAATAATCTAATTTTTTAGTAAAATTTTATATTTTTTGGATGTGCATTAGTGCATTACTGCTTTCCAACTCAGTTGAAATCTATAGAGAACTGTTAGTCTATTGTAATTGCTAATTTATTATGCCATGATAATTCTCAGTTTTTTATTTGGAGGATCTGTTAGAAAATTTTCTTGTTTTCTTAAGTTTCATGAATGATGAATTTCCAAGTTTTACTTCAGGAAAATTTCAGGTGGAATGGGGTCATCAACAAGAAAAATGACCAGAAATTGGGCAAAGAGAAAATTTCATTCTCTCAAAGAAATGAAATTAATGAGTTGAACAAAAAATCATCTGAAATGTCAAGTGCTGAAAAGATTACACATTGTGATGGATCAATTGACTTTGCTAAACTTCCATCCCTCTCTGATACACCTAAGGTTAGCTCGAGTATATTACTGAATTCAATTGCTACCTTTCATCCACAATAAATATTTTGCTTTGACGGAATTGGTATATGCAACCTACTACACATAGCTTAAGACTATTTTGTGTTGCAATATCTATCATATACATCCCAAGTGTTATTCTCTCTATTGTAGGAAGGCGATGTGATTGCATATCGGCTGCTTAAGTTATCATCCAACTGGACTGCTGAGCTCTCCCCGTACCATGTATTTCATTGCATTATGCTTTGTATTTTGGTTATTGATAGGATCATGAGAAAAAAAGTTTTGACATTCCCTTTTACTGAAGGTTGGCAAAGTATCATCATTCAATTCTGAATCAAGTAGAGCTTCACTGATGCCAGTTGCCGGATATCCATTTTATTCCAAAAAGTCAGGTGAAGATGAATGCGCCATGCAACCTGATAGCTCTCTTTATAAAGAGGATGGATCATTGGAGGTAAGCTCTCTCCATTTCTTTTGTAAACTCTCTCCACTGTGTGCAGCCGCTCTAAATTTGAACCATAACTGGTATGCAGATAGATTTGTCATCACTTGTTGATGTTCGTGTTGTAAAAACTACCACCTTTAACCCTTCAAAAGAAGTTTCTGTTTGGACTGGTGTTGGTGCCTCCACCAACACATTAACAGTTATCGAGTGGCTCTAGTGATAAGCAAACACCTACTATTCCTGGTACTAGTTTTTTTTTTTTTGGAAGTGAGCAATTCAGATGGAAGTTATTCTGAACTTAAAATATTGTCTTTTGTTCTCCAGAAAATGGGGAAGTAAACCATGAAAAACAAATGCATACTTGCAGCAGAGGTATGGAACTATGAATTGTATTCAGTTCCATCATTACCTTGGTCACATCTTTGCCTATTGAGATGTTATTTAAAACCTAATAATGTCTCTCTCTATTGGTAGAAAATGGAGTGAACCTTTGGGAGCAACTCAGCGAGGCTTTATCTGCGAAAAAGCAGCAAAGTAGTTGGGGTAAGGTGACTCCAAGCAAGATTTCATGGTCATATGAAGCTTCGAGAGGCAGTGGATATGCGCCTAGAAAAAAGGGTTTCTCTCGGTGGAAAAATAAGAGATAAATGGTATTCTATGCTCTGGTATGCTCCATCCATCACTTCCAACCTGTGCGAAGGAAATGCCGAGGATGAACTAATTTCACAGCCCAAAACAGAACTACCCAGAACCGAAGTTTTAATGTTCATATTGTCTATTCATGTGATCTAGTTGCCCCAACATGAACAAAAGAACATTATGGATATATATTTATCCAAGTGTGTGGTTTTGTTTCTTCTCCATTCCTGTATGGGTATGTATGGTACCTCTGTAATCCACTGCTTTCTGGGAAAACTGTTGTAAAGATGTGACAAAATAGAGATGGCCTAATTTATGAAACACAGAATAAACAAAGTCTAGGAGACTAGTGCTATATTATATCTGTATCTGTAGCAGAAAAACAAACCTTGAGTGAAAATGGAAAGGAACAGAGGAAGGTGGCAAACCATAAAACAATTTTAAGAGAAGTTGGTGTAGAGGCTTATTAGCGACAAAATTATATACTTGTAATTCCTAAGACGACAGCAGTTTCTTCTTCTCTGTACATGCATGTATCTCCTCCTTCCACACATCACACGGGCAGAAAGTCGAGAACATCTACCTAGGATGCCATTTCGCCACCGCTAAGATGCTTGCCAAGGTGGATGCACAACGGCTGAAAAACCCGAGATTACAATACCTCTCGCCTAATTAGTGCGTTCTCGAGAGAGGCAGGATACGTTTTTAAGGAGATGATCGGGTTCCTTGCCTTGATTCACTATCTGCAATTCAGTAGTATTGGAAGTTAGCTTCGATTATTTGGCTCGCTAAAACTAGAGAATACAAAAGAAATGTTGGTATGCTTTGCCAAAAATACATGGTTATCACATTCTCAGATTCTGGAAGAGATCCTAAAGTCTACGAACAAGTTTCAGAAAATGCTTTCAACCACCCCCACTGTCCATTCTATTAGACTTCTACGGGAAATTGACTGTTATAGGACAGTCAACACTATACTTGACAAAAATAGGACGCTGATTAATTTTGGACGGTCAAGGGAAAATCGAGTTTGGGAAATGCGGTTGGGTTGATAAACGTATTTCCCAAACTCGGTCAAAGTAAATGCTATTCTCTCTCCCCGTCAACATCAGACGCATTTCCCAAATGCGTCTGATATATAAAATACTCCAACTACGTTTCTCAAATGCGGCTGTAGTATACTGCAAATCTGCATTTGGCAAATGCGTTTCTCGTATAATATGAGAAAAAGCATTTCTCAAATGCGGATATGCTTCCCGCTGGAGCCCAGCTTTTAACAAATTTCTGTAAAACATGTATAAAAGACTTCAGATCTGAGAAAAGTAAGAAAACAAAAATACAATAATATACCTCCATCCTCAAATTCTGGCTCCGATCCGCTGTCTCTTGCGAGTTTGCGACGTACAGTTAAGGCAGCGTTGAGAAAGGATGGGGAAAGGAGGTAGAGGCACATACTCAGATCTGAAGTTTTTTATACTTTTCCCAAATGCGAGTTGGCGGTTGGGCTCCGGCGAGAAGGCGGGAAGCATATCCGCATTTGGGAAATGCTTTTCTCGTATAAATAAGAGAAACGCATTACAAATGCGGATTTGCAGTATACTACAGCCGCATTTGGAAAACGCGGTTGGAGTATTTTATACATCAGACGCATTTTGGGAATGCGTCTGATGTTGACGGGGAGAGAAAATAGCATTTACTTCGACCGAGTTTAGGAAATGCGTTTTTCAACCCAACCGCATTTCCCAAACTCCGTTTTCCCTTGACCGTCCAAAATTAGAAAGCGTCCTATTTTTGTCAAGTATAGGACTGACTATCCTATAACAGTCAATTTCCCGACTTCTACTTATAAGTTAAAGGAAAAAGGGTCAAATAAGCCACTGAACCAAAAAAGAGTTCAATTAAACCACTCAACATTCAACCGGTTGTTTCAGGGTCATGCAGGCTAAAATAAGAGTTGTTGGCACGTGATGTGGAAATACTTTCTTTATTTTATTGATTGATTGTTGGTGGGATAAAATCTCATGAATCATTCAAAATTTAAGGTGCATGAACCTAGAACAACCAGTTATATGGAAAAATTGGATGACTTTTGAATGTGGAATGAGTGGTTTAACTGAACTCTTTTTTGGTTCAGTGGCCTATTTGACCTTTTTTCCTAAGTTAAAAGATACCATTAATATGTATTGTTACTTTGAACAAGTCATACCCCATATGCACATATTAACATTCAAGAATAGATATAAATTTGAATGTTTAACCTATCTTTAGAATCAATGGCGGGAAGACAAAGTACATAAGAATAGGAGGGAAAAAGTACCTGTACAACAGATCTAACCAGACGCTTTTCAAGAAGAAAATTGTGTCCAACTGCCTCCCACTGGATATGACCATCCTCCCACATGCTATCGTTCTTGATCGACTGACCGTTTCTTTGCGTCCATGGCACGTCACGCCCTATCCAAACGTACAAAACGTTGTTGTTTTTGGAGTCGACGCTCACATCGGGAACAAATATGAGATAGACGGCCCTCGAATCGAGAGGCCCACAAGGCAACTCGAATTTATGCATCGAAGGCCACTCATAAAGGGCAACGTTAGTCGTTTGAACTCTTCCATGGAATTCACCGTCAGTTACCAACGTCTCAGAGTCCACCATTGGCTCCTCGATACTCAACTCAACGGAACCGTCTTCGAAATTGTGGCACTCAACGCCCCTCATTACAACATCTTCTACATCGGGTCGAGAAAACGACCACGTTCTTGCCAAATTGGGAGGAAGCTGAGGAGCCTCGTCGATAGAAGTCAACATCATTCGCGGTGGAGGATGACTTCCTCTACGCTCCGCTATTGAGGGGGAACAAGTGTTTGTTACTCTAGCTATATGAGTGTTTGGAAATGATTCTTCGGTTCGAGTCAAAGTTCCTTTACAAAGTAAACACGGGTCTTCTTTTAAGGTTCCATTCGACACATGTGGATCTTTGGACTCCATTCCAGAAGGCGAAGGCTGTGCAGATAGGTATGACAAGTCAGACCAGTTAGAAGAAGTGGGCGAGAAAGTGAAGGAGCTAGAGTAATCCGAGGTTGACGGTGAGAGCGAGGGGGATGTGGAGCTCGACTTTGGTTTCCCGGGAAGAAAACAGGAAAGGGAATCTAACGAACTGAACGAAGGTGTAGGTGAGAGTAAAGGCTCGGGAGTTGCACACTCGGGATCTTTACAAGGATCCTTCAGCCAACTAGGACTGCTGGTAGCATAAGACGAAAACGAGTCTGGTGAATCGCACTGAGGACTCGAAGGCGATGAAGGCTCAACGGGAGAGATTTCTAAAGAGGCGTCGTCAATCATACCCTGACTCGTATTCACGTCGTTACTGCTCATTTTAGATGACAAGATGAATTCTTTCATAACGCCACTCGCAAACTTCTGCCTCAATCTGTTCCAGCCGTTAGCCCGAGCGGGAAGACAAGTCTCGAATCCGGTCCCCGATAACGGAAATGGCGGTACAACCCCACCCGCAACAGCCTTGTGGAAAATCTCGAAATCTAAATCATATTCGCTCACCTTCCTTAAACCAACACTCGAAGACAAAATTCCCTCGTTTTTTATATGAACAAAGAACTTTTCATTGCCAAGAGCCTCCCAAAACTCGGATGGCTCTTCGCCTTCTTTGAGGATTAGAATTGGACCCTTAGCCTTTTCATACCGGACAACCTGATCAGCAGCTGCCCGAGCATTGTCTGACATTACTGAAACACAGTGCTTTCCTATCCACACGTAAATAGCCGAGGGAACATGAACAAGGAACGCTCCTCGAGAATCAAGTGCTTTAACTCCCGGTTCACCCAACATCTTTGGAACAAGATGGAGGGGATCATATGGAGAGTGGGGAGCGATCCTATACATCCTCAGCAAAGAAGTCGGGCTTACAGGTAGAGCATGAACCCGCTTTTGACACTGCAAAAGTTGGCACGCAAAACCCATATTCGGGTTCGTCACCCCTCTTGCTGCTTTCACGTGCTGAAAAGCATCTTCGAAGCTCTGCCCCTTCTTCCACATCAGATACGCTATAACCAAAGAGGTTGATCTGGACACCCCCTGACAACAATGAACAAAGACTCGCCCACCTTGTTCTCGAACATCCTCAAAGTAATCGAAAACATCATAGAGAATGCTCGTGATGTCCTCAGTCGGGCTGTCCCGCAGCCAGAGTGTCTTGTACACCATATCGCCCTTGAAATACTCCGGGCAGATAAACCCAACGCAATTCAGGACATGAGTGATCCCATTCTGACGAAGAATCTCACGGTCCTTGGCAATCGTCTCGCTCCCCAAGTATATATGATCCACAATCTTCGAGCACTCCTTATTAAAGAACGCAAGCTTGTCTCGCTTGAACTGAAATTCCCTCGGAGGCTGCTCGGACGTCGAAGTCTCCTGGATGGTAATCGGCCCGAGGCGGGCCCCGGGAGTAGGAGGGTTGTTTGGCCACACACCTAGATCATCTGACCCAGCACTAGGCCACTCCTCAGCCTTTGGCCTGTTGATTGAAAGTGGTTGAAGGGGAGGCAAACAAGCCCTTGCCTTACTATTCCATTGTTTCTTGGCAAAATTTGATTTCCTAGGAGAGCGGTCAGTCCAGGAAGCAGACCGAGCATATGTTCTCCGATTCCCGCCGCCGGATAACACATCTTTATCATTATCTTCACCCCCAAGCATATTCAATTCCCAGAGAAAAACTAAACCTCCCCAGAACCAATCACACTCATGTGAGGATTGTTCCAGGAAACCCCATAAAGTCCTCACAAATTCAAACAGACCCTTATAGAATTAGCTCCATGGAAAACCTAAACAGTGGATAAAAGTTGAGTCTTGATTGACAGAATTTCAGAAATTCAAAGAAACCCCATGGAAGGATGAAGCCCACATGTTCAATTTTTCATTCATTCATTCATTCAAACAAACAGCTGGGCTGCCCGTTCAAAGATTCTTTTTTGATTCCATTTTCCAACCACCTAAAAGCCTTGACCACCTCCCCGTTTCTGCATGTTTTATTGACAGAATAAAACAAAAGAAGCAGAAATCAACCACAAAATACGACTTGGTAAAACAAACGGCCATTCAAACGTTAAACAGAAGAAAAAGTGCATAGAAAAATCAATTCAAAACCCATAAACTTTAAATAATAATAATTCAAATAAGACTCACTGGGAAAGGGTGGATTGGTTGTTGGGTATTTGCAGCAGCCACTTTGGTTTTTGAAAAAACTCTCAAAATTTGAAGTCTTTGAATGATTGATGATGATGAACAGGGGAGATGAAATAATAAGAGAAGAATTTACCAATTAAAAGTTTTTTTTTTTAATTTAATTTTTTTTTTTTAATGTAGAGAGAGAAATTTTGAAATGTAGGAGGAAACCGGAGAGGAGGCCAACAAAAAAGTGAAAACGACAGGGTGGCAGTTTGTGGACCGGAATAGAATCGGTCAAACTGCCACGTCATTACTATTGATAATAACATCCGGATTTTTCAATTTCATTTTTTTTTGTTAATCATTAATTCTATTTTTTTAGTCGGTAACAATTTACTTTTAATCATTTTTTAGTATATCTCATTTTGATTCTAATATTATGTAACATAATTATTTTTTTATCATTCATTAATAAAATTATTAAAAATTTCATTAAATACATGACCATTTTAATATTTTTATACAAAATGAGTTGACCAATTATATTTTTATTTATTTTTTATTTTTTAAAAAAATTCTTAATTGAAAATCGAAATGTTTTTGTATTTGTCATTGTTCCACACACATTTCTTTTTTGTCCATAGAAAATCGAACTCAAATTATCCCAAAATTCTCCCTCACAAAGAGAGCTCATTTGTAACTTGAGCTACTCTATTAGGTTCCCACACTCATTTCTATATGTACGTTATGTTATGTGTTGTATTTTATACATAAATGATATTAGTATTAATTTTTGCTAATAAATGACATATTCTAGTTTCTTTAAATATGAGTTAATTACCGAAATGGTCCCTTGACTATAGTGAAATTATCAATTTGGTCCTTGACTATTTTTTTTACCAATTAAGTCCCTCAACATTAAAAATCTTAACCAATTTGGTTCTCCATTTGTTTGACCGTTAGTCAACCGTTAACTTGGGACCAAATTGGTAATTTCGCTATAGTCAAGGGACCATTTTGGTAATTAACTTTAGTGGTGGGCAATTCAGTTTAGTTTTCTCGAACTGAACCATATCAAACCGAACCGAACTAATTTGGTTCGGTAATATACCGAACAACTGAACGATATTGAATTCTTGTATACCGAACGGTTCAATAAAAAACCGATCCGAACCGAATTGTTCGGTAAAAAATTGAACTGAACCGAATACCGTTTGATTTTTTAAAAAAATATAATAATAATAATAAATAAATAAATAAAAAGTAAATCCAAGTCCCATACTCCTTGCTCTGCCGTTCAGCTCATATTCTCACGGGTATCTCTCGTAAATGTTTTATTTGATTTCTTTATGGTTTGTTATCAAAAGTAATATATTATGTGTTATGATGTTTACATAGTCCATATCAAAAGTCTAATATATCAAAAAAAAAAAAAAAAAAAACAAAAAAAAAATATATATATATATATATATATATATATATATATATATATATATATATATATATATATATATATATATATATATATAAATAGCAATCCAAAGTTCAAACAGTATTCGGTTCGGTTCGGTTTTTACCGAACAAATTCAGTTCGGTTCGAATTTTTATCGAACCGTTCGGTATACAAGAATCTATTACCGTTTGGTTGTTCGGTATATTACAAAATCTAACTAGTTTGGTACGGTTCGATTCGAGAAAACTGAACCGAATTGCCCACCCTTAAAGTTAATTACCAAAATGGTCCCTTGACTATAGCAAATTATCAATTTGGTCCCAAGTTAACGGTTGACTAACGGTCAAACAAACGGAGGACCAAATTGGTTAAGATTTTTAAAGTTGAGGGACTTAATTGGTCAAAAAAAAATAGTCAAGGACCAAATTGGTAATTTCTCTATAGTCAAGGGACCATTTCGATAATTAACTCTTTAAATATTTTAGAATAGATTACATGAGGATTATATATATTGAATAATTAACTTTTTTGACAACTACCATATAGTGTGATGACATCCTAGTTACCATTCTAAATGAATGATCATAGGTTCGGGCTAAAAATGTTTGAGAAAGTATAAAACATATATTATCTTATAAAGAATCAAGAGTATTTCAATATATATATATATATATATATATATATATATATATATATATATATATATATATATATATATATATATGGAAGGGTTCAGGTGCGGATATAGCCTTCCTATGCGGTTGACGCACCTTAAATATTAAAATGACACACCTTAAGTACACAAATCACGCACCTTAAGCACACAAATAAAGCACTTTAAGCACACAAATCATGCGCACCTAAAGCTTTAAACCGACGCACCTTAAATACTCAAACCAAGCATCTTAAGAACACAAACCACGCACCTAAGGTTTTAAAATGACGCACCTTAAGTTTCATCAACTCACGCATCTTAAACATACAAATCATTTGTTTTGTTACATAAACCAAGGAAAAAGGTAGAAAGTAATTCACGTGTACTAAACGGAGAGCTAAGGAAGAAAATAGGAAGAAGAAAAAAAAAGAGAAAAATGAAATAAATTTAAAAAGACCAAAATACCCTTCTAATTATAACATATTATTTTTTCGGTTAGAATTTCGGTAATATGTGGTCGGAAAATTAGACCGGAGGACCAAAAGTGATTCTAGTTAAAAAGTCATGTACCTAATTTGAAAAAAACAATAGTCAAGGATCAAAAGTGCTTCACTTATTATAGTCAAGGGATCAAAAGTGACATTTACTCAAAATTAGCTTGAAGAGATATGAGAGAGAAAAGAGAGACAAAAAGATAAAGAATTTAAAAAATGTCTTCCGATTAAAAATTTATGAAGACTTTTTTAATCAAGTTGGACATTTTTTCTGTTGACCAAAATGAATATTTTCTTTTGACTATGTTTTCTTTGAATACTCAAACACAAAAAAAAACTTGAAATGTTATTTCTGAAAGTCATTTTTTATGTTTCCAAACCGACCATAGAGAAATCGAAGAGGAGGATTGGAGGAACCGGAAAAAATTACAAGAGGACAGTAGCTGAAATGCAGGAAAAGGGCCAAAACAACACCGTTGGATCGCTGGAAGTTGAAAGCTGTTAAAGTCATCAGACGGCGTCGTTCTTGGAAGGCAGCTGGCGAGGCAGTTTTAAGCTATGTTCAGATAACTTCGTTTCAAGCTTTGATATTTTATTTTGATTTCTGTTTTACTTATTTGTTATTTCCAATAACTTTTAGAGGAAGGAGTGGGTTGTTAGAAGCCTAGATTTGGAGATATATAGCAACTTGGGTTTGTAAAGGGGATTATGTGAATTTTTATGGATCATTATTCTATAGATCATAGTCTACATAAGTGTGTAAATCACAAAAAAAAAAAAATACATTATTTGTATACATAAATTACGTTATTTGAAAGCACATTATTTGAATATTTAAATAATGTACTTTTAATATATTATATTAAAAATGTATCTTGTATTCATAGTCTATACAACCATGTGGACCTTCGCACAAAAATTTACTAATTTTTATATAGAAAACCTCTTTAAATTTATACTTTCTTTCTTTGCAATTCCTCTCTTCTCTACATCTCTTTTGCCATACAACCCCTCTTCTTTTACTGCAAATTCTCAGTCTATTACAAAATACCTACTTACTCTATCTCACTTTATACGACTTATTCATTATTTAACGGTCAAATTAATCTTTTATTTGTTTATTTTCTTTACCAAATTCTTTTGATTATCAAATACCACATTTTAGTATTTAATAGAACCTTTAATATAATTACCTCCAACCGAGGATTACACGGTTCCTTCACTTACCCATTGATGAAACCACTTGCTTCTCTGTCACAGTGTACAATGGCGAAAACTCCATAGTGACGGTATATGCCAGAATGTGAAATTTTGTATGTAAGGAGGAAACTTTGTAGCAGACTTTCATATATTGGAGTTTTCAAGAGCAAATGCCATTTTGGGTATCCAATGGCTAGGATGTCTAGGCAAAGTCGTAACAGACCACAAAAACTTGACAATGGAATTTGAATACGAAGGGGAACCTATTAAACTGGTAGGACTTTCAACACCTAATGTCGTGCCTATCTCTTGCCACTAATTGACGCGCCTTCGTCAAACCAATGCTATAGCCCACTACTACCTACTAAATCCTATACCCACTTGTCCTGCGCAAGATTCTCTAGACCACCCTCATCTCACTATACAAGAACTCCTCAACCAATTTTCAGATGTTTTTAGCATCCTGAAAGGCATTCCTCCTAGCCCAGTACTAAACCACAAAATTACCGTTTTACCTCAAGTGACACCTGTGAACGTCATGTCATACCGCTACCCTCATTTTCAGAAAAATGAAGTTGAGCGGCTTGTTTAGGAAATGCTATGAGATAATATCATTCAACCCTCTACAAGCCCTTTTTCGTCACTAGTCTTGTTGGTCCGAAAGAAGGATGGATCTTGGAGGTTCTGCGTGGACTATCGAGCTCTCAACCCTATCACTATCAAAGACCGATTTCCCATGCCAAGAGTAGATGAGTTGCTCAATGAACTGCATGGTGCGGTCATATTTTCAAAGTTAGATTTGCAAAGTGGGTATTTCCAAATCCGAGTTCACCCCCCGGACATTCCAAAGACTGGTTTCAGAACTCATGAGGGTCACTATGAATTCCTTGTGATGCCTTTCGGCCTTACTAATGCACCAACTACATTTCAAGCAACTATGAACTCAGTTTCCACCCGTATCTACAGAAGTTTGTGTTGGTCTTTATTGATGATATTCTGGTTTATAGTCGTTCGCTTACTGACCATATTCACCATCTCACTGTTGTTTTGGAAACGCTCCGCCAACATCAGCTTTATGCCAAACTTTCAAAGTGTAGCTTTGGCTAGCGTAAACTTGAATATCTAGGACACTTCGTCTCCTCTGATGGGGGTTAGTGTGGATCTTGCGAAGATTCAGGCCGTGGTCGATTGGCCTGTACTGAGGTCGGTTTTCGAGGTCCAAGGCTTCCTTGGCCTTACCAGATTTTGTCGGCGGTTTGTTCAGCGATATACCTCCATAACAGACCCATTAACAGAGTTACTAAAAAAGGGTGGGTTTTCATGAGGACCAGCAACGGACAAATCATTCTAGCAATTGAAAGA